ACCTACTGACCACACTGACAGCAATCATGATCTTCTAAGGTATAAATACCCCTCCCAAAAGACAAAGCGGGTATGCAATCTCAAACTCTCAACTACGAAATATCCTTCTCAGTGTTTTCTCCTTTCTCTCTCTCATTCAAAGACTGACTAGACCGTCGGAGGGGATACGNGAAAAAAAAAAAAAAAAAAAGAGCCTGACCCTCACGGGTGAGTTGTGCTTTTCAGATTTGAGTGAGGGATTGGTAATTTTACTCACTTTTGAGGGAATCATGGGATAGTATTGATCATTGCTGTTGTCATATTGCAAATATGAGGGCCTCAAACCCCTCCCATCCCTCAGGCCAAAAAAAAATTAAATTTGAACTAAATATGGTGCCCTCAGATTCCTGTCCATTCTTAATTCAAGCACTTCTCAAAAGAATATAACTCTATTACCTAGTGCTGCTGGATATTGACACAGTGTAAGGAGTTGGTGTCAACCCTACAAATATTAAAACAAAATTGCTCAACCATCATCTCTACTTGGTATAGTTTTGTTTTGTTCCCCATGCCCATTTGATAGTTTTTCAGTTGAAAATGGAGATCGAACTTCATTCGTTTTGATTTTTTATTTCTTTGGATAAATCCTAATCACTTTTTAAACTTACTTTCTCTGGAATTTGTAGTTGTTGACACGTAATTTCTTTTCCTTTTGTTCTCTAACACTGCTAGGTTTGATATGTGGAAAGTATAGGTTACTTGCACTGAATTTTCCATTGAAGATGAGACGCATTCTCTTCTGCAGCATCAGGAGGAGTTTAACAGCATAAAAAGCTCCATAAGTACACTGAGTGCCAGTCTTGAAGAACTGGTCAGTTAGTAGAACCCCTTCTTCAGTGAAGGAAATAGATGATCATTTTCTTTTAGTATTTCAAAATGGTTGAAAAGTAATTTATTTGCCTTTTTGAAATCTATATTTCCAAGGGAAACAAGACAGCATATTATTCTTAATTCCTCATTTCTTCTGTTAAATCTCATTGGTATTTTTTTCTTGGCTTGTGACTGGTTTTACTCATTGCTTGTGCTATTTCAGAATAAAAAAAAGGCTGATCTATTGGGTAGAATGCAACATTTACGAGAGAAAATCAGTAAGGAAGGTGCTGAAATGCTGGTGCAGAGATTGTTATCACTTTTGGAGTCACTAAAGGTTGTTTGATGCCATTTTAGCTTTATATTTGTTCATGGATTGCATTCCTGTTTTCTTCACGTGGCCTGAGATTTTTGAAAAACCTTTGTCATGTTTTCTTATGTGCAATGAACAACTTAGAGCAAAATTTTTGCTGTAACGAGGGCACATGAGAAAAAACTTGATTATAATGCAAATTTTTAATGGTACCCTTTGTTGAAAGCTTCATGCCCTTGCGAGGTGGGGGATGGTTTATGCTTATTTTTAAGATTTAATTTTGGATGAACAGAAGGAAGTGTGTAAACTCTGGAATATGTTTAGAGAATTGTAAGTCCTGAATGTTCTTAAATTATGTTCTCTAGATGCAAAGATAAGCCTGTGATGAGTTGAGCATCTTGTTGGTCACCTAATCCTTGATACATAGGCATATTTTGGAGCTGAAATAGAGATGCTGCTATAAGAAACTTGTCAAATATTTATGCAACTGAATTATAGAAGTAGCATTGCAAGAGACAAACCATCACATATGTGGGTACATTGTAAATACTTAGTTACTTTTACAAACATGTATCTTATTCTTTAATCATAATTAGAAAATGTAGTATATTCGTATAAATTGAACAATGTAAAGCTGTTCAGATGATTGCAGCAACTAGAATTTAAAGCTCAAACTGGTGTATCATTCCGTTCCATGTTAACCTGAGCAAGTTATCCAATCAAGAACCTGTAGAGTTGTATTGTGTTTCTCTCTATTAGCAGTCCTTTGGTCCATGGTTTCTCCTCTGGCTGCAAATCCATAATGTGTTCTGTATTTTATGCGACTCTTACTGGTCCCCGTTTAACTCTGAATTATTTGACAGCTTTTGGCCAACATAGGAATTGATTCCTCACTGTGTGCATAGAGAGGGAGAGACACACACACAGAGGGACACACAGGGGGGAGAGAGAGAGAGAGAGAGAGAGAGGAGGAGGGGGCGGGGGAGATTATGTTTACGTCAACTGCTACCATCATGAATGGAACTCCCCTTGTGTAACAAACATAAAATTCTTAATGATGAAAATAGAGATTTGATTGTTTGCAGGAACATGCACTGACTTCCATACATTATCTTGAACTGATGTGTATGCAATATAACATCCAATGATTGTAATAATGACCTTGAAAATTGTGCTTTGCTATTCTGATATAATAAAGTTGGACATGCAAGTTTTTGTCTGCCTTTTTTTGTTATAGGATTTGATCAAATGCCTTTCTCTTTGGATTTTTTAAGTTAACCATTAATTTTTTCCCTTGTTATAACTAAGCTTATATATTCTTTTCTGGCAATTATCTTCCTAATTTATTTTTGTTATTTTTGGTTGCTGACTCACTGTTTGAAGGCTTGTTCAGGCTCTAGAAAAGCAAGAATCTGATTCCCAGCTCCATTCGAATGTACAACGCTCTCAGCTGCAAGCTGAGATTGATAAACTTGGCGAAATTATACTGAGTGACAATGACGGGTGGAGCTTCTCCTGTGGTATCGATGATTCTTTACATAGCTCTGTGGAGAAACTGAATTCAGCAAAGACGGTGAGATTTCTGTAGCAGCCCTATGATTAATTAATTGACCAGTAGCACATTTTGGTGTGAGTAATTACAATTGCTTTTCTGATTGTATTCAAGAATTCTTGTTTAGCATTAGGTCTAAGATTTATTTGCCTATGCTTTCCTACATCTTCAAATGGTCTGATCAATTAATCACATCAATCTGCATTTCTCAAAATTAAAATCTTTGGTGTGAATTTAGTCATTTACAATGGTTGATGTAATTACTATTGCTTTTCTTACATGTTGCGATAAACGTGCGACATTTTAAAATAATTGGTGTGAATGTAGTTATTAGCACGGTTGACATTGTTACCAGGCCCTTTCTGCTCCTTACACGTGCGTTGTCCTTATTACTGGATGGTTGCCCTCTTTGTTAGTTGCGTATGATGTTCTGCTGGTCAATATGTACCAAAAATAATGTTCTGGTGCTATGTGCCCAGCCCAGTAATGAACTTTTACTTGTAAAAAGACTTATTAAGCTTCTTACTGCTTCTTTTTCCTTTTCTGGAAGGGGAAAGGGGAAACTGTTGTGTCGCTTTCTGTGGCATATGAGCTTATTTGCAATTTGAACTAACAACAGCAATAAAAAAGCATTTTTGTTTTACAAAATGACAGTGTTTTGGTAAGCTGTATTCAATGTAATGATAGGTGATCAAAATAAAATAAAGTATTCCTATTCTCACATTTTATATTCTTAAATTCCCTTTGTTTTTCTTTTTCCTTGCTTGGTTTCTCTGTGGAAGGTGAGAATTGCATTACAGAGGATGTATGGTTCAATGATTACCTTTAACGAGAACATCTGCATGAGAATTTCTGGTTTGGCTTTGGTTTCCAAGATTTGATTCTTTGACGTCTAGCCATCATCATCCAAGAATATATTGTGCTTTGCTAGAACCAATTTTCCCCTTTTCAAGACTTAACACCAATTTTTATATAATGTGTGCTATGGTATAGATGGATCAGAAGAACTCAGGCGATTTTCCTGATGTTGTTATTATTAAATCATATTGCTGTGAATATTTTGGGGTAGGAACTTGCAGCTAAACTACGGGAAATTGTATTGCTTAAAAGGCAGCTCGATGATGTGCCATCACAAGCAGAACTCATTCAGTACGTAATTCTGCATAGCATTTCTTTGCTTTTCACTTGTGAACTTTTTAATCTTCCTATTATGAGAAACTTGCATATTCTTAATGTCAGAATGACTCTTCTAGATTGTTTGAGGAGGATCCATTAACTTAGAGAAAGTTTGTTCATTTATGGATCGTATAAGTTAAACTAGAAATTGAAGTTCAGAACCTTGTACTTACTTCAGGTTTTATGTTGTAATGTAACTGTTTCGGGTCCAATTGCTTCTTGCATAAGAATTTCTATTGTTACGTCCCTCAGAAATGTCCTGTTGAAATTACTTTGTCATGCCCAAAATGGCGTGCATGAAAAATACATCAAGCACTTTCAAGTAGACATTTTGTTTTATGTAATTGAGATGAATGGGAGGATATGTACTTGATTCCACCCACCTTTTTGACTGTTAGATCCTGGAACCTTGATGACATGCTGTTACAGAAATTTTCTGTGAATCCAAATTATCTAGATTCTAGAGATATATTAGTTTACACATACTGTAGAAAACTTGGGCAAATTAACATATTTGCGTCATCCATATGACGCCTGACTTCATTTCTTTGTGCAGGTATGAACGCCGATTTTCAGAACTTAATGTCCATATTCAGGTACACTTTTTTGGTGTTTAGTTCTCCTACTTCTATATTTGGAATCTTAATAGGGCCAAGATGACTAAACTTCTTTCTGCTGATATACAGGGAAAGCTTCGGCAAACTCGTAAATGCTATGCTACCTATAATGCCTTGTTGGAGATAAAAGAACTGATGCTAAAAGAAACATCCTTATTAAACTCCATAAGTTTGCAGGTATGGAATGAATAATTATAATGTGATTGAAGTCAAACCATTGTGTTGTCTGTTTTACTTTTGAATGTGGACTCGATAATTCTTGGGCTTAAATGTTGCGGCGAGTTGTGATTGGTTGCTTAAAGTTTTGCAAGGACGTATTTCACAACCCTGTTTTTAAAGGATAATTCATCAAAACATTTTTTTGGGCCTATTTTTTTTGGCACATTAAGGCATTTGCTATATGCATGTGAAGCAATAGAAAGATGCCTATAAATGTGATGAGTGGAGGAAGAATCAAATTCACGAGTCATACAATGAAACTTTGAGAGAGAGAGAGAGAGAGAGAGAGCATGTGTGTGTGTCTGATCGAGTAACATTTAAATTTGAGACAACATCATCTAAGAATTATTTTGGATTTATTGTTGTAAGGTGACTGATAAGAGCTATATACTTACTTGAGAGACTATTGTGAAGGTGCTACGAAAAAAAGAAAGATTAGGTCTAGAGATATTGATAANCAACATCATCTAAGAATTATTTTGGATTTATTGTTGTAAGGTGACTGATAAGAGCTAATATACTTACTTGGGAGACTATTGTGAAGGTGCTACGAAAAAAAGAAAGATTAGGTCTAGAGATATTGATACAACCCCTAGAGATATAATATGGTGGTGTACTGGTGTAATAGAAAAAGAAATTACAAATGGATAAATATAATACAATTAAGGGCACACGTATGAGCTTTGTGACTTTAATTGAGACAACAGAAGAAAGTGTGAATTCACAATGATGGTATGCTCACATTAGGGATTAGGGTTAGGGCTTTGAGCCCAGTGTTATTTAAGGCGTAAAGCGAACCGAAGCGACCAAGGCTCCTAACGCCTAGGCGAGAAGCGAGAAGCGAAGCGAAACGCTTTACCGAAGCAAAGCGAACAGTTAAAAAAAAAATATATTTTAGTTTAATTACTTCTAAACAATCTAAGTTCTAATTTTATATATACTAAATATTTAAATGCAAGTAAAACCATAAACATTTAAATTAAAACAAACACTAATAATATCTCAAATCTTAATAACAGTCATAACTTAAACATTTAAATTCAAACAAATACTAACAATTGTATACATTTTCATATTGACAGGGTAGGACAACAAAAGAAGCAGAATCAGGACAACAGCAGAATTAGCAACAAAAAAAAAAGAAGCAGAATGAGGATAAAAAAAAACAAAAGCAACACAAGACAGCAAAACCGAAACAGCAACAGAATCAACAAAAAAAAATAGAAGCAGAATGAGCTAAAAAAAAAAACAGAAGCACAATGATCATGACAGGAGCAGAATCAATTGTAAACAATTTCATATGTAATTATATACTGAATAAAAAAAAGCAGAACAGAGGCACATTTCACATGTACTAAAATAATTAAACATGGTATAAGCATAGACCACTTTTTGGTACCATTTGTATATATATAAGAAAAGGGAAAAGTATAACCAAGACATATCAGAGACACTTCTTTGTAGAAGAATTTATTATTTACCCCCATTTCTGATACTCCTGCTTTATTTTTTTATCATAATTGTCATGCAGTGTAGTCGCCTGACTCCCACATCCCACAAATATTCTAAATGAATTCAGCAACACAAGGAAAAAAAAGGAATGTGTTTTGTTCGAAACATTGTTTATTAGAAAAAAAAAAAAAAAAAAGACTAGCAATAGTCTAAAAAAAAAGTCATTAGTGATTAAAAAATAAAAGAGACTACTAACCTGTTATCAGAAAAAAAAAAAAAAAAAAAAAAGTGAAGCAGAATCGCCTTTTATAATAAAGCGTTCGTTTTTTCGCTTCTTCACTTTTTCTCGCTTTTTTCTCGCTTCGCTCACGTCCTTCAGGCGAGATAAGCTCGCCTCGCCTCGTNAGAATCGCCTTTTATAATAAAGCGTTCGTTTTTTCGCTTCTTCACTTTTTCTCGCTTCGCTCACGTCCTTCAGGCGAGATAAGCTCGCCTCGCCTCGCNACATTTAAATTCAAATAAATACTAACAATTGTATACATTTTCATATTGACAGGGTAGAACAACAAAATAAGCAGAATCAGGACAGCAGCAGAATTAGCAACAAAAAAAAAAAAGCAGAATGAGGATAAAAAAAACAAAAGCAACACAGGACAGCAAAATCGAAGCAGCAACAGAATCAACAAAAAAAAAATAGAAGCAGAATGAGCTAAAAAAAAAACAGAAGCACAATGATCATGATAGGAGCAGAATCAATTGTAAACAATTTCATATGTAATTATATACTGAATAAAAAAAA